TTGTTCTTTGACAAATACTTGGCTGATGAGTTTTCTGAGCAAAATCTTAGAGGCTGCATGATTTCTCCTTCCTACTTATAGTAAAATGTGTGAGAGAAGAGATCATGACCTGCACAAACTGAAAACAAAACTTTTAAGATTTGGAAAATTCTATTGTACAAATAATAGCATGTGTCCTAGAATTTTCACCAAGGTCATGGCTACTCTTAATCTTTTGTTAAAGAGATTAAGCCTGTAATTGATGGATCTAACCAATGACTACATCTGGAAAACCAGCAGCTTATACTGACGGGAACAGAGAAAGAACAAAAGGAAAGAACACTGGTTGCCTCTTGGAATCCTACAGGCAGTAAACAGGCCAAAGGAGCTGCATCTGTTGTCCTCCAAGAAAAGAAAAGAATAATCCATGGAGCAGCTTGGAGATCAGAACTGTTGGAAGGAGCATGGGAAGCAGGGCCTTCTCAGTTTCAGATTTTCACCAGCTAGGTTCTGCAGTGTGAGGCTGACATTCACAAGTGACAGGGGAATGAAAGGGACTGCTGCCCAAAGCTGAGGGGGTGGGGTTGCCATGCCCAAGAAGAATGGGGCTTGGAGAGGCCAAGGGGGTGGGGTCACCACTCAGATGGACTATAACTGCACCACTTAAAGCCAAGGGGAGCAGAGTTCCCATCCCAGTGGGCCTGGAAGGCAGAGCTGCAGCTAAGTGGGGTTGGGCATCCAGAATCTAGAAAGCTTGTCCAACTCCCAGGGTCTGGAGGGGAAGGCCCTTACACAGATGGTCTCAGAGAACAGAGGATTATCTGCAAGCCTTCAGAGCTAATGTGAATTGTTCTGTTGGATTTTGGACTTGCTTGGTGCCAGTTATCCCTTCTTTTCCTTCAATTTCTCCCATTTGTAATGGAAATGTTTACCATGTGGTTATTAAGCTTGTGTGTCAACTTGGCTGGGCATGGTTGAGTGGTTGGCATTGAATGTAGTTATTCCCCATGGTGAGATTGGTAATCAGATCCATGGTGGAATCTATGGGAGCAGCTGAGTAGCTGCTTTGTTATGTGGTCTGCTTCCCATATATAAGAAACAGTTTTGGGAATGGTCTCTAGTTTATGGCATGCTTGAACCCTGCATGTAGCTGTGGCATTGTTCAGCAGCCTGCCATGCTCTGCCGACCTTAGGACTTTTAAAGGACTTGAATTAATGGCCTACCATGTGGTTTGGTAACATTGGGACTATGCCTTTTTACTTGTCAACCTTGGGCTTATCAGTCTCAGTAGCCAGCAGCTGTCTGAGTGAAGAAATGCCTCTAGTTCCAGTGGGCCAGAAGCAGGAGGCAGAGCTGAAGCTCAAGGTTGAGGGGCTTTCACCCAGCCTCTAGAACCTGGCACTTTGAACCCTGACTTAAAGCCTCCAAACTGTAAGAGAATAAACTCCTATTTGTTCAGTCATCCCATTTGTGGTATATTCTGTTAGAGCAGCACAGAGGTAACCAAAACATTCCATCATTGTATTTTAGAAAACAGATAACTGGTAGTCTAGATTTCACAGGTTCACAAATGAAAAGGAATTCTGCCCCAGGATAATACAACTAAAGTCTCACTCATAGTTCATTTAGAAGATGACATTTTGGATTTGGAGTGGATTTAAGACTTTTGCGATGATGTGATGAAGTGAGTGTTTTGTATGTGGAAAGGACATAAACTTTGGGGGGCCTAAGGGTAGAGTGTTATGGATTGAATTTTGTCTTCTAAAAATCCCTAACTTCTATTCCTATGGTTATAATCCCACTTGGAAATGGGTTATTAATGTGACAGGATTACTGTACTGTGTATATTGAGTCATTCTCCTCCGATATAAAAAGATCAAATAACCAGAGATGAGGGAAAAGAGAGATGCCAAACCACATGAAGATCACCCAAGAGCAGAAGCTCAAGAGACAAGGAACTTCTTCCAGAGCCGATAAAAATCTTTCCCTAGAGTCAGAACCCTGAATTTGATTTCTAGCCTCCTAAATCATGAGAAAATAAATTTGTTAAAGCCACCCATTTGTGGTATTTCTGTAACAGAAGCACTGGATAATTATGACGCCCTTCTAAGAGTATGACCAGTCTTCCAACTCATATGGTAAGTGCTTCTTGGTTACTGTATGCATTAAAATTATATTCTTTTTTTTTTTTTTTTATGAATTATCTTAAATACACCCCTCTTGAAAGCAAGGGATTATGCTGTCTTGTATGTCTTTTAGGAGCTCTTATAGTGTAGTGCCTAAAGCACTTGACTGCTAACCAGAAGGCTGGTGGTTCAAATCCACCAGTCGCTCCTCGGAAGGTTGGGCAATCTATTTCCTTAGTGATACTGCCTTGGAAACCCAAGGAGGGGTCACTATGAGTTGGGTCTGACTCCATGACACATAACAAAGTATGCCTTTTAACCTCAGACCCAGCACAGTGCATATATCACCGAGTAGGCACTCAAATAATACTTGCAAAATGATCACAGAAAAAGGGAAAAACACAGTGAATGTTATAAACTACACCTTTTTTAGAGTCACATGAGGCAACTTTCAATCCAGTAGGAATTGAGGAAAATGAAATTTCAGTTATCCATGCTGCTTATCTACCTTCTTGGTTATTACATCTGATGCACCATACCTTTGCCTGGGCTCTATTTGCTTTGAACACAGAGGCTATCAGGTACCTATCTTAGACCAGAGAGGAAAAAACCCTTTCACCTAAGACAGAGCAGCATTCCTGGGAGAGGACAGTTATGTTAAGCAGATGCCTGACTTCAATGTGCGATTTAGTAGACAAGTAGGAGGGTTAACATTAGCTTTTGCTGTATGTAACTTTCCCTATAAGGAAAAAATGTACTCAAATAAAGATAATTATATTACCTTTTTCCAAGAGGGTATGTTGAAATTCAGTAAAATTTGAAGAGCTATAAAATATTCTTCCATTCCAAATGGTAACATAATATACAAAAAATACCTTTTTTAAAAGAAAAATCCTAAAAATACAACTTTTGGTTTTAAACCTTTAATAAAAGTAAAAAATGAATGAAAAAAGAACACAATATTGAAAACTTAGTATGAATGTGAACTCACTAGATGTTCAAATCTGGTATAGTGCAAAGTTTGTTCATAGTATTTTACATTTTTACAAACTCAAATCACTTTGGTTCAGATACTTACTATAAATTATTGGCAAAGAAATTCTTCAGATTTACTTTTTTTTTTTTTGGCTACATTATTTCTAACATAGATTTCCAGGTGAAGACAAAAAAATACTTATTGTGTATGATCAAGTATATTTTAAAGATTCACCCACTGCTTTCATCTAATAACTTCTGGTTTGTCATAAAATGCTGACATGTTCATTGAAAAAATTTTTACATAACTAATCATTTTCAATTTCAGAAGATTTATAATGGATCATTCCAAAGTACAGAACAATCCCATTTTCTTTTACACTAGTTTCCTCTAAAACAAAGTCACTATAGTTACCTAAAATTTACTCCAAAATATCTTTATCAAAACAAAGCAAAACACCCCAAACAAGGACCATCACATAAACAAACAAAAATCAAATACATTCATTAACACTCATAGGCAAGTTAGTCTAAATTTCCACCCTGTGGACTGATGACTTCTATTTAAAAGGGAAGTCTTTTAATCAAGCAACTTTAACAGAATTTAAAACAAACCAAAAACATTTAAATTGCATAATACAAAAAGGTAAATTTGTAAGTAAAAATTAAAAGTATACTAAAACCACAAAACTGGAGTATTTCAAAGGACAGGGTTCAGTGGAAGAAACAACAATAAAGTAACTTTACAGCTGAAAGAGATTATTGCTGAATTTTGCCTTCATGCAGCACTGAAATGAACGCAGAACCCCTCTCTTTAACATCTCATACATTTAAAAAAAAATAAATATTTAAGAGAATAGAAGGCTCAGATTGGTTTTCATATACATTGCACTTGAAGTTTAAGACCCAATACTTGCAAATTAGGTCTGAATGGTCTATACCATTAAATGAATACATTGTGCTCACCAATATAATTGACTATTTAGAAACACCAAATGTTTAATGTAGTGACATACGCACTCTTATTTTTACAAGGCAATCACAGACTGCAAATTCTATAGGGCTGTGGAAAAAAAAAAATTGTAATCTCTACTCTGGAGCATCAAAGGAACAAATCATTTTGGCTCATTAAAACTGAAACATATAGCAGAGGTTTTCATGTTTAAGTGATTACGGATCTTGGATATAGTTTCATAAAGTGAGGTGAAAATTTTAACAGATCAGTGTAGAACTATGACTTTTCATTGCCTTTAGCTTTCAGCAAGATTGTCTACAAAATATTTCACGGGTAGCAGATGCTGAGCACTTCAGTGTGCATGTGAACATGAGTGTAAGAGCATGAGTGTGAGTGCTCCTACAGCACTAGGGATGGAGGGCTGCTTACACTCCACAGTGCTGCAACCCAACTCTGAGCACAATCTACCAACGCACATTATTATTTTTTTTTTAACACAACCCTATTTTAAAAAAAACTTTTGGATAAATATTCTTATTATACCATACTTTTCTTTGTTAAGCACCATCAATCTGTCTCCTTTGGGCACTGATACAAAACCAATAGGTCATTACTAAGTTTTAGTTCAAGGCTTTGAAATATGGCAACTTGTTTTAATGACATAAACGAATCTAATACTTGGGGAACTGCCCTTGGCCTGAACTCCTATCCATAGTCTATGATCACATTTTTCCAGAGCATAGACAGGTAGGTGTGCAGTGAATCCAGGTCAGATTTCAAGATAAGTAGCTATTGTTTCCATTTCAGGACTCTAAAATAGGTGAATACTTTTCCAGGAGTCAACTGTACAGTCAGCCCAATCTAAATAGATTACTTAGGAAAAGATCATCTTTGTCACAATCTAATAATCACAGATTTTCTTCCAACATCTTGTTTACTCTTCAGAATCAGTCGGTTTGAAGACTCAATCAGTATGTGGCTTTTCAGGAACACCCTACATATAAAAAGAAAAGACTTCAATGAGCATTTAAAATATGTAATTAAACTTCAATCTGAGTGCTACCACACAACTACCTATCTTTAATAATACATTCAAAGAAAATTAGCACGAAATTGCACTTTAATTATCAATTCAGTATGTCATAAAAGGTTAAGATTAAAGTCATGTGATTAGATTAAGACACATTAGAAGAAGTGGAAAGAATTGGAGCTCAACTAACTACCTGCTGCCTAATCTTACAATGACTCTAGCTCTAAGATCCCTAGTTCTCTTATCTATAAAATCGGGAATAATTCTCTTCCTCAACTGTGTAAAGCTGTTCAGATAGATTGTTACATAAGTGTAAGATATTATTGAAAGTATGACTAATTTAGTATCATACAAGGAAACATTCAATTAAATCAAAGCACAGAATACACTTATATGACCAGTACTCCTAAAAGTTCTAACTTCCTATAATTAAAACTTTTTTACGTGAAGAAAGGGAGGTATCTGCTCTAAATCTTGATTAGTATCTGTATCTGATGCTTCCATTATAACCACTCTACCAGCAGTGTGGTGAAACAGATACTTGAAATGACACATTTTAACATGCCAAATAATGAAGACTCCACCTTAAATTTATGTAGACCTTTCTTTACAGTTTAAGAATCCTTTCTACCCATTCTTTCTCATTAGATCCTGTTAAAAACTCCGTGAGGTTGATATTGCAGTTAGTACATATGCCAGGCACTACATGATAAACTCTCAATATAGAATGAATGTTTCGTTGCTGAAGAAACAGATCTAAAGAAACGAAAAGATCTGTTTCAGATCACAGAAATACTAACGGGCAGAAGAAGTTTAGTAAATAAATATTTTTCCTCTGAATCTAATGTCTTTCCATCTTAATTCCTCCTCTTAGGCAGTCATGCGTGAAGATAAAGGAGCTGAACATTAGGATTATTTATCTATAAAATCATAAGATCTCATTTAGACAGATCTGCAAGAAACTACAAGACTCTTGGTAAAATCATCCAGGAGTTTTGGTATGCTAATTATTACCCTGGGAACAGAGATAGAATAAGACTTTCTGGGGAACACATGAAGTTCTGGTGGTGCAGTACCTAAGACATTTGACTGCTGACCAGAAGGCTGGTGGTTCAAACCCACCAGCCACTCCTTGGAAAGAAGACTGGGCAATCTACTTCTGTAGAGGTACTGCCTCATAAACCTAAGAAGGGATCATAATGAGTTGGAATCAACTCAATGGCAGCGAGTTTGGTTTTGGTTTTTGGGGAACACACACTTAAAACTGGTCATTGGAAAGCATTAAGAATTGTTAAGACCTGGGGAAGACTCTAAACAAATTTCAACTAGAGAAAGCAAAGCCAGCAAACTTTCATTAACAACCTGGAAATAAAATTGGCATCAAATTTTACCACTAGTTCATTAATGTGCTCATGAGTAAGCAGAAAACAGAATTTTGGAATCCATGGTATAGGGGAGACTAAAATTAGGTTGACATTAGTGTAAAAATACAAGCAACTACAGAGATGAAATAACATGATCATCTCGAGACTGCTTTAGTAGTCTTGCATATTAAGTTTCATTAGTGTTGCCTAATAGCAACACATTTTAAATGGCAAGATGGGATCCTGCAGCAAATCCAAGACACCAAAACAATTTTTTTAAAAAAAACATATTTAGAGGATGAATAGCAAGACATGAACTATATGTTGAAAAGGGCAATAAGACATATAATGAAAACTTGGTTCAAAGACCATCTCTGCCTTTTTGGGCAGGTAATTTAATCTTCCTAAGCTTCAATTTTCTCATCTTTAAAACAGACTAATAGTTCCCACTTCTTGGGTTGTTATGAGGACTACATTAGATAATGATGAAAATGTTTAGTATAATGCCTCATGTATTATAAGTGCTCAGTAAATGTTAGCCCTCAGTAACAATACTGTTGTTGCTATTATGATCATTAGTAGGAACTGGGTCAATCAAAAATAAGAAAGGCAAATTAAATTCTATGCTAATGCATAAGCACAATTTTTTTTGTGTGTATAGTGCCTAAGGCACTTGACTGCTAACCAGAAGGTTGGCAGTTCAAACCCACCAGCCACTCCTCGTAAGGAAGATGGGGCAATCTATTTCCATAGTGATACTGCCTTGGAAACCCAAGGAGGGGTCGCTATGAGTCGGGTCTGACTTGACGGCACATAACAACAACAACAACAAATATTGCTGTGGAATGCTGGACAACAGGAAGTGGATCCAAACTTTATGGCTGTTAGTAGCATTACTTTTGTGGGGGAGAAAATATTTCAAATGACTAATACCTATAAACAAAAATTCTATAAAATGATAGCTATACATTCATTATTTTCTTTTAAACATACAGGGTAATGATACTTGAATAAGTTGTATATCTGGACACAAACGACAATGGCACAGAAGAAAAATAAAAAAATACAATACTGGAAAAGCCATGCGAACCACTGAACTATAAGCAAAGCCAATTTACAGCTTTTTTTTGGGTGTGGTTATCCTTGAAAAATAATTGTATTTCTTTTTGAGAAGCGGGGACCAAAATATTTAAGAACAGAAAAGTCATGTTAGGAGTGTTGACAGACAAGAAGGGAACAACAGGAAGCTGAGAGTCCTGGGTTAAAAGTACCCTCAGCATCAAACATAAACCTTGGGTGGTACAGATTTGGTCAAATTTAAGCACACTGTGCACTAAATGCTCTACCACCTTCAGATTTTCATCTAGTTCAGCAGTGTCACATCCCTTCACAAAACACTTCTTGGTGTATCTGTCAATTTTAAACCAAAAGTTAATTCTTAAACACTGCCCCTAAAATACCAAGTCCGTTCCATTATTTGTCTATACACCATCAATGAAATGGAATCTGGGGAAGATAGCTCTAAAAGAAAAGACAGCAGCCATGTATATAACTTCAACAGGCACAGTCCAAGTAGTGATTAGTTCCATTTTTAAGATAATGAGCAATTTCAAGGAGCTCTGGTAGCATAGTGCCTAAGGCACTTGACTAGAAACCTGAAGGCTGGCGGTTCAAACCCACCAGCCACTCCTCGGAAGGAAGGTTGGGCAATCTACTTCCATAGTGATAACTGCCTCAGAAACTCAAGGAGGGGTCGCTATGAGTTTCATGGGTTTTAAGGATAGAAATGTGTTTTCAAATTTTGAGTAGAAAAAGAGTAAATCTGCTTTTACAAATGCAATTACACAAGAAAGCTTTAAGGATATAGCCTTAAGTATTTTTACTAACTCTTTAAAAGAAAAACTGTTTTAGCTGCTCTTTTTAAATATGCTGTAATTGTGACTCTTTGATAAAGATTCTGGTTAGGGGTAATTTATATCACAGCCTAAACTCTCAAGGCTCTACAAAAGCTATTACGAGATTAAACATTTTCTAAAGTTGACAATTTTAGGAAATAAACACAAAAACTTGCAGAACAAGAGACACTATTTCCTAATTTGTTAAGAAGATGCCATGAAGATGACTTAATTCTCCCATGGGTGTAGGTTCTTCTGCTAACTTGACAGAATTCTAGCAGCCCTTTGATGCTTCTGGGTACCTAGCAATCAGGGCCATAATCTGTCCCACATGAGGACTAGGCCATCAGGCTGTACTTGGCTGGATCCTTTCAATTCCCTCACTGCTGCTATTTCAACCATCTTCTGCTAGTTATTTATGTGGGGGTGGGGGTGAGTGGGTGCTGGGCTTAGAAACAAAAAGCACTATGAACAATGATAGCTAGACTTTAGGAAATCAGTTTTATAAAGCAAACCTTATTACATTTTTTCATGTCTCTGACATATTCTGAAGTAAATACCATTTCCTATACTTCAAATTCTATTGTCATGAAAAAGATAATTTTGGCTTCATGTACTGTTTGTTATCTTCTTGCTGATGCAGTCACACAAATTTTAGACTGGCAGTATCGTGAAAGGCAATATTCTTATTTCAGGCTGCAGTGGATGTAAGGTTCAAGAGTCAACTGAATTAAAATGTGAAGGATATTTAATTACTGTTGAAGAACTATGTACTTCCTCCTATGGCTCTTTACTGCTTTGAGGAAAGATTCATTTACATTAATTTGAGAGTGGAAAACAAGAAAATCAAAGAGGTAAAAGTAGAGGCTACTCGAATGGCCTGGATTTGGGAGGAGGGAAGAGAAGGATTGGATTGGATTTGGGATCAGGGGAGCAGCAGTGGGAATAGTAAAGACATCAGGCCTGAGTGCTCTGGGGAAAGGAGGACTCCAAGGACTCATTCTCCCCTTTCCTTGTTATCCACAACTGAACTCCGTGGTTTTCCTCCCAGTAAAATGATAGTGTTGTTTACTCAAATAGGAGGTTAGAAACAGAGCCAGAAGTTTTTTTTTTTGGTGGTGATGAAGAGACTAGGAGAAAGATAAGAGCCTGCAGTGACTTCCAAGTCAACACATTTAAAATGAAACTCATCTACAAGTCATGCTATCCACCTTACAATACTTATCCTCTAAACAGACATGATAATTATTTCCTATACACATCTTATATGTTTCTGATTATAAAAGTAGTATTTTCTTATAAAATGTTTCTAAATGCAGAACAGAAACAAAACTGAACCTTCAAAACCACTTGCAAATCTCCTCCCCAGAAATTACTTTTAATTCCTTTATACATCTTATTCTTCTCTATTTCCCAACACATGTCAGTCCTTCCTATATAGGAGTGGTGCATGCCTACTATTTTTTGCCAAATCAGACTGAACGATCCTTTAAAACCACATAAGACTGGGCTCTTCACCCTAAGGTCTTTGCAAACTCACTTGAGTAATTCTAACAGAAACTACACTGTATCATTTTAGTCATTCTACTGATTCCTTACTGCAGAAATTTAGCTATAAGTGTAACTAATAATAATAGCTTTACACTTACTCACATTTTCTATTATGCTCTCTTTATTGAGCTTGAAAATGTGGAGAATAAGATTATGCTTTCTTCCTCTTTTGTAGCAATCTTAGTGGCCTCCACTATTATCAATTCACTTCAAGACTTAATGCTGGGTGTGTACAGACTAAGGCAGAATTGATAAAACTGGCTGTGATTATCCATCTGACTGTGGAGGACCCCCTTAAAGTGCACCTAAGCTTTAAACTTTTGAGAAGTCTGCTCATTTCCCTTTAGTTGGAATCTAGGAATAAGGATTTAAATTTTCAAAGACAGAAAATATGTTAGGTGGGGTAGAGGGTAGGGTCAGAGATCAAAGAAGTTTGCTTCATTTTGATGGCCAAGTAGGGAAGGTGAATAATTCTTTCCTCCAGTTTCAAGATGCAACGATAACATGTAAGTATCAATTCTCCCTCTATTTTAAAGAGTAAAAAGGGAAACAAGCTTAAGTAAGGAGAATTACAATTATGCCAACTATTCTCTATTAAAGGAGCCCTAGCTCTTGTGGCATAGCATCTAAGGCATATGACTGTTAACCAGAAGGCTGGTAGTTCAAACCCACCAGCTACTCCTTGGAAGGAAGATTAAGCAACCTACTTCCATAGAGATACTGCCTTGGAAACCCAAGGAAGGGTTGCTATAAGTCAAAATTGACTTGACGGCAGTGAGTTAGTGAGACAATGGTTAAGAGCTCTCCTGCTAATCGAAAGGTTGACGGCAGTATGAACCTACCCAGCATCCCCATGGGATAAAGAACTGGTGATCTTCTACCAGAAAGACTATAGTCAAGAAAACTTATGGGGCAGTTCTACTGTGTTACATGGTGCTATGAGTTGGAATAGACTCAATGGCACATAACAACATCTTGTTTTGCGTTATCTTAAAATTTTTACTATAGGTATCAAAGAAGCACACCAAGGATTAGTTAATATAACTATCTCCAAACAGTATTATTTTCAGAAGACATGATTTATTCAACACTTTAAAAACCACTTCTAGATATTTCCAACTTGTTGTGACATTTCTATTTCTACCTAACCAAAATGTTTTTTTTTCCCTAAAACTGGTTCTAAAAATCTTTCACCATGAATGTATGACAGCACCAGTACATCCTCATGAATAAGTAACCAACTCCTTGAATCTTACTCCTAGTACACATTTTTAATTTTATGAGTAGTCAACTGGGTTGAAGACAATTTTATTCCCAAAGGCTTAATTAAAGGATATTTTAATGAAAAATCTCAAAGTAGTAAAACAATTATGGGGTTGTGTCATTTTAATTTGAAAACTAAAAAAAATGAGTAATAAAGGGGAAGGAGTTGAATACGTAGAGGAAGAAGCACAATATTTTCATATGAGACACTTTAACTGCATTTTTAATATTAAGAAGAGCAAAGTCCTTTGTTTCCCTATTAAGGGACAGGAGAAAGATTTTACAATTGAGCCTTACCTATTTTAGTAGCAGAGAAGATAAATGACAAAGAAGAGAAAGATGGTTTAGACTCAGTAATCAGTGGAATGTTTTACAAATGCTACCTTTTTGAAAGTACTTAGATTTTTGTGAAACAGCCAAGCAGGCTTGGTTGTTTCAAGTTCAACTCCTCCTAAGTGGGTATCAGTTGGCACAAAAGTGCTGTTATTATAAATAGCATGTAAGTGTCAAGAAAAATTTTCTGAGGAAGCCCCAGAGTTTATCTCTGAGAACAATAGCCCTTATAATAACACTCTTTTTTTTTTTTTGTTCATTTTACTTAAGCCCTCAAGGCCAAGTCAACTCAAAATAAAAGAAATAGCATTTAAATGCTCACAATTAATTTTCTTTTATTTGGTTCAAATGCCAATTTTTAATTGGTTCAAATGCCAATTTTTAACGACTGGAAAGAGGTCTGAAAATTATCCTTGAATTCATTTACCACTGCCATCTCTGTCAGGTTACTACTGCTTTCTCCTCCTGTAAGAACATGTGTGGTGCTCAGGTACGAGAGGACATCTACATCTACCTGTTCGTCTCACCAGTGTTGAAGGCCAGACAGCCATGCTCTGAGTGGGTCTTCTCCTTCTGTGCCCAGGTCCACTGTGCCTTTAGAGGGCTTGTGCTTTCCATACCTAGCCCTATGCCTTGCTGTCCTGCAACAGCCCCGAGCAGAGACAGGCCTCTGCATCCTCAGCCTGACACCCATTATTTTCTTCAGCATCATACAAACACACTTTGTGTTAAAAAGAAATGTTGATTTTAGTCCCAGATCCCCAGGGACTAAAGTGTCACTGCAAAGACCATCTAAACTTGTTTCTGATACTGAAGTTGTTGTTGTTGTTGTTATGTGCCGTCGAGTTGGCCCCGACTCATACTGAAGAAGGGGAGGAAATTCATTATAAACTCATTACAAACCTTTAGCCATTTCAATGACTTTTTCTCTGTTATTGCTATAATAGTTATGTGAATTCAGAAAAGCCACTTAACATCTGCATAAAATGAAGAGGTTGCACTGGAACTCTAGTTTCTTTCTCACTCTAATATTACAAGTTTATGAATTTAGGAGTCTTTAAAATTTAGCAAAGTATTACCTGGTATCATTACCTTTTTTTTCATGTACACTTTTCTTAAAAATTGTTGCTTCTAAGTTTGATCTAGGCATATTAACACAAATTATAATGTGTTATATAAAGCAAAGGTGGTGCAGTGGTTACGCTGTTAACTGAAAGGCTGGCATTTCAAAACCATCAGCCTCTCCATGGGACAAAGACGTGGCAGTTGGCTTCTATAAAGATTATAGCCTTGGAAATCCTATGGGACAGTTCAACTCTGTCCTACTGGGTCGCTATGTCTCAAAATTGACTTGAAGGCAGTGGTTTTATTTATTTATATATTTACATGTACAGCAATTCCATCAAGGTAAAAGAACCAAACCATTAAGAGATAATACAATTTTACTTACCATAGCCAGCTGTCGTCCTATGTTTCCTACTGTTACACCTCCTGAGAAAAATATGCATGGGAGCCAAGAACGAATATAGAGAAAATCTGGGGATGTATACCTACAACAACAAAAACAAAAATATACATATATAAAAAATATTTTTGTGCCTTAGCAGGCAATTATAAATTTGGACCAACTTTGGGCTACAGATTTTCTTTAATGGGGATATAAAGAATACATATAAATTATGAAATATAATTAACATGTTATAGCTAAATGGTATGTTTTACTGCTATTATTTGGTGTTCTTCTACATTAGAGGTAGTGCATTTTTCATATCTGAATCAAGAATAACCAGCATATTTGAGAATTTCTTATCTGAATCCAACACATGTATATCATGTATTTTATAAGAGCTAAATAAAATATAAAAACACATCCTAAGCTTACCTAAATACCTAAGGGTATTTTTAATAAGAGTAACAGTTCTACAAAGTGGATATAAAACATGAATATTTGAAATTATATACTTACTGATAAACACCATTATATACAAGAAACTGAGTGATCAGAGTGGCTAGAAATGCTATGGTAATTCCAAGCCCAAGACCACTTCTTGAACGATCAAATGTCCACCAAAGGCCCAAGGATAGGGCTGCTAAAGTCAGGGAGAGTTGAACATTATTGGCAAAATCCAACTTCTGGTGATGCAAAAGTTAAGGAAAAGTTTAAAGATTTTTAGTAAGATCAAAACATTTTCATTTTTAAAGAATGACATGTAGGTTCTTAGTACTTTGCATCAAATAAATCACTATCTATAAAAATAGCCTCATGAGCATAATAGGTAAGGCATCTGGCTGCTAAACAGAAGGCTGGTGTTCAAACACACCAGCTGCTCCGTGGGAGGAAGTTGAGGCAATCTACTTCCATAAAGATTTACAGCCTTGGAAACCCAATGGGGGTCATGAGGAGTCTGAATTGACTCAGTGGCAGTGGTTTTGGTTTTAGTTTAGTGAGAGAAAGAAAGGATTTGTTGAAAACAAGGTTACTGTAATAATTAAGATTACGTGACATTCTCCTGGGATCACTGAGTAACAAAGTTTAAAAGTCAATTTTCTGAAAGTTATGTGAAAAATTCTGCTGGTATTTCAACCGTATAACATTTTGATATGAAGTCATATATAGTCCCATTCTTATTTCTTATTATTCTTAATTTGAAGTGAGTAATCACTATGCTCATGATTGTGTTATGAAAATACCTAGTCAGAATGGCATGCCAAGTACATTAAGACAACAGCTGGTTTTCATTACGTTCATTACACTACTTATCCACTGGTGACAAAACAAATTTAATCAAGGCCAAATATCTTATCTCCCACTCATTTGTCAGTTTGTCATACTGCTGTGGGTTGTGTGTTGCTGTGATGCTGGAAGCTATGCCACCAGTATTTCAAATATCAGCAGAGTCACTCATGGTGGACAGCTATCAGTGGGGTTTCCAGAATAAGACAGACTAAAAAGAAATCTACCTGGCAATCTACTTCTGCAAATGAGTCAATGAATATCTTATGGATCACAAGAGAACATTATCTGACTAGCTTGCTTTAAACAGATCAACAAGAGGATCAAGTTTGGTGAAACAGAGGATTAATGAGTGTGAGTGAGCCTTTGGTGAGGAACTGGCAATAAAAGACTCCAACATACTGGAACATACTGGTGATTGTGAGGATAACATAGGATCAAACAACATTTCATTCTGTTGTACATAAGGTCACCAAGAGTAAAAACTGACTTAATGACAACAAACAAGGTATTTTATAGAACATTTATGACATTCTTATCAGAATAAAACAGATTTAAGCATTTATAACTCTTAAAACACTGTCCTCTAAGATTTTAAAATATAATCTAGTTGCTCTATGTGTTGTTGTTGTTATATGCCATCGAGTCGGCCCCAACTCATAGTGACCCTTCCTTGGGCTCTATGTTGTTGTTGTTGTTATGTGACATCGAGTTGGACCCGACTCATAGCGACCCCTCCTTGGGTTTCCGAGGCAGTATCACTACGGAAGTAGATTGTCCCATCTTCCTTCCGAGGAGTGGCTGGTGGGTTTGAACCGCCAGCCTCCTGGTTAGCAGTCAAGTGCCTTAAACACTACGCTACCAGAGCTCTATAGAAACTCTGAATCTCTTGAGACCTGGTAAACCACAGACCATTTTCCTGAAATCACACTTATGTACAGAGATACAAATTATTCCAGATAAGGAATTCTATCTCTGGGCACCAGAAGTAAGGGGACCTTATATTAGGAACTATTATACTAGAGGATAACAATTTTTGACTGGCTCTGGGACTTCTGTGGTCAGAGCCAAGAAGTGGACAGAGAAGCGGAGACATTTCATCTTCCACAGGGGAGTTACTAGAACTATAGTAATACTTTTGTCAGTCCTCACTTTGCTATAGGAACTACCAAATCCCTCACTGAAAAGAGAGAAGTGAATTTATAAAATGAACTCCTATGAACCAAAAGACACTGCCTGAGAAAGGAGAGAGTAAATATGTTCATTGTCCTTCTGATGTAATTGTTTCCTGAAATGTACTGGAAAGACTCCAGGAACCATATCTAAAAATCCTGTTAAGTGCAAAATAAATGATATGGTTCAAAATAAAATAACTTGTAAAAAAATTTTCACCTAACTTATAAGGCAGGTTAAAAAAATAACAAAATGCTTCAACATATAGTTAAAGAAAATCTTCTGTACATAATACATTCATTTAAGGATACAGCACTTGCGTGATTGATGCCAACAAAAACAGCAATACAGCGCATTACACTAGCCCACTCTCTCTTAAACTTGTGGGGTTCTCCAAGATGACTGTCGATGCAGGGGTACAGTAACCCTACAACAGCTGTTAAAAAAAAAAAAAAGTATTAAAACATACCAGCTTAAAATGAAATGATTTCTACATGGTAGTTATTAATATATGGATGGCCAAAACAAACAAACAAACAAACACCCACCCACAAATAAATCGGTAAATCAGTCTTACAAGAAATACAATCAGAATGTTCCTTAGAAACCAGAATAGTAACACTTTGATTTGCTTACTTTGGACACATCATCAGGAAAGACTAATCGCTAGAAAAGGACATCATGCTTGGTAAAGCAGAGGATGAACAAAAGTAAAGGGAAACCCCAATAAATTGACACAATGAGATAAACTGACATAAAAGCCACAACAATGGACTCAAATATACTGACAGTCATGAATAAGGTGCAGGATAGGGCAACATTTCCTTCTGTTATACACAGGGTTGCCATGAGTTGGAACCAACTCTATGGCAACTAACAACTAGTAAAGGACTCAAAAAGTCCTTTTTTTAGAAAGTTAATCTGTTATAATAGTCATATTAAGACAATTTTTATATTCTTCTTTAAGTAACAAATTTTTGAGACGTTTAATACAGTTTTGGTTTATCACTGAGATTTGGTTAAGTTAAATATGTCCCAGTAAACAGAAAAGTGAATCAAGCAGGGAGTTCAATTATCCAGACAGGTTGAAGTATAAAAAAACAAATGCCTGCATAATTAACTTTCTATTTTTATCAAATGTTATTTCCATTTACAATGAAAAATAAGGTTCCATGAATATCCTTGAGACCACAAGTCACATCACAAGTTCCTCACACCACTGAGTTGATGTTGGGCAAATGACACTCACATTTGTGCTGACTGGATGGAATATGATGGGCTGGGTCATAAAAGACACTCCTTTCACAGGCCCACAGGATGGGACTGGACTTAATTTTCAAGGGACTTAAAGCAGTTACTTCAGGAGACCCCAGGCACCCATTATGTAGACAATCCTGGGGTTAGGTGCTATGGGCTGTTATAGATTAAACTGTGTTCCCCCAAAATGTATTGTAAATCCTTACCCCTTTACCTGTGGATGTCCCATTTGGTAACAGGGTTTTCTCTGTTATGCTAATTAGGCTATAACAGTAAAAAGAACAGATTAGGCACAGAAAGTAGACATGGGGGAAGACCCAGACTTGAAGACGACAAAGGAGGGAGACCAGTTCACAAGCCCAGGAACTCCAAGGATAACTCTTTAGAGAAGCTGAGACAAGGCTTTTTCCCAAAGCAGACAGACAGAGAGCCTTCCTCTAGACCCAGCACCTTGAATTTCCACTTCTAGCCTTCTAAACTGTGAGAAAATAAATTTGTTAAAGTCACCCACTTGTGGTATTTCTGTTATAATAGCACTAGGAAACTAAGACAGGGGTACATGAAAGAAATTGGGGTGACAGACTATCATAAACTGCTTTCTATTATTTATCAGTTTCTATGTGTGAAGCCTAAAGCTGTGGAAAGAGTACTTGAGCAGTAATAGAATAGTTGGCATTTAGTTCCAATTTTGCCTCTAATGGGTTGTGGCTTTTTATGTTTGTTTTCTCATGTGTGAAATTATGAGGATTATGTAACTGGAAGACAGAGAAGGAAGAGATCTTTGTAGTATGGAATAATTAGGATAGGTGGGAAAGTATCGCATCCCAGAAGAGACATAAAATGGAAAAATAAAGATAGGAATGACCAAAATGGAGGTGGTGAATAGTGGGACTATAGACCTAATGGAATTGGACTATGGAAAAAAGGGTTAGTCATTTAAATTGGACTCAAAGTACTGAGAGTTATTAAGCTAGGCATATCACCTTGATATGTTGGGAACAGGAGCCAATTTAGATTCTTATAAGAGAAACAAACACAGGAACAACCATTTTCAGCCCATAGTCAGACGAAAAATTTTCAGTTTTCATTTTCATATTCAGTTTAACCAAGTTCTAATTTTGGAGTTTTGAAAAAATGGAACCCAAACAATTTTATAATTTTTGTTACTATAACTTAATCTTACCTTTTAAGGTTAGAAGCTAATAAATAGGTAAAAAAAGGAATATTTTTCCTTATGTTTTTGGCTCTGATAGTTAAAAAAAAAATGTGAGGTAGGCTAAACTACTCTTCATTTGAGATCTAGTTTTTGGTTCAAAGAAGGAGACTATTATGCCAAGTGTTTGTGAAAATGACATTTCAAACGTAGAATTATTTCTCACAAAAGTTAAAACATACTACCCACTACTTTATAATTATGGTATCCCTTAGACTTGACAGCAGTGAGTTTGTTTTTTTTGGTTTAGATACATATAGATGTTTTAGCTAAAATGACACACAGTGCTCAAAAGAGCACTATTATTACAAGACTCTGCTTCTTACTGTTTTAAGTGATTTTGTTGAGACTATGCCATGTGCCCATAGCGCAATGCACACACCATATTACAAGGGAAGCAGAATACACAGTTATGAGTTACAAACACTGGCTGTAGAATCGATTGCTTGAGTTTAAATACAGTGGTTTGGCCGCTTACTAGCTGTGTACCGTTGGCCATTATTACTGAAACTCTCTGTGATTTAGTTTCCACATTTGTAAAATGAACTATTGTACAGATCAGAAGTAGTAAAGGATATAAAGACTAGTAAGCAGTCGATAAATGTTAGCTGCAAAGAAAACACAAGTGTACTTGTCATAGTATATTGTAGTTACTTAGATGCATGTTTGTTTTCCCCACCAGATTATGGGATACTTAAGGAGAAGGGCTTGTGGTACTCACTTTTGTATTCCATCAACTCCCAGAATTGAGCTTACAGAGGCACTTGGCAAATATTTGTTAAATAAACTAATGCTGTGTGAGTAATCTGCTGGGCCAAGATCAATTCTGTAAGCTGGCTAAATGATATCCAAGAAATTCTATCAAAGGAAAGACAGTCCTCCTGTCCACAATTAGGCTTATTATCCTGTCCTATGTTATGCATATTTGTGACTGGTTAGGTCTACTACAATCAATCTAAACTCTTTAACAAGGGGTTTACTCTTTTTCTTGATAGAGCTTTTAATTCTAGGGGGAAATGACTTGGCTTTTGGCCACAGTTCACTTGGCTATCCTGGCAAAAAAGAAGTGCTGAGAAGTTGCTCCCTTGGCAACCACCTCTTGAACACATGTGACGGATTTGTTTTCAGTTATACAGCAGTGTAGCATGTTCACTCAGGCAGCCAATAGCGATGCAGTACTGCTGCTCACCAGTTCTGCAGGTGACCAATCACAGGGCAGCTAGCTCTAGATGACAGCTGCTGTGTTTTAGACAAGGTTGTCCTTAGTCAGCCCAGACACTACGAGGGACCAGATCTCAATATGACACAAGCATTTCCTTAAACAGCCAGTTATCTCCGGGCCTCATCTCCATCACTGGGCTTCCTCAAACTTAGAGAGAGCTGTTGCAAAGACTATCATCTGGGGGGTTTCAGAGCCTCATTACCTTACTTTCCTCAATGTAAATACAAAAACTGAACACGCTCAGTTTTAATCTGTGGATGATTCCATTTTCAAATAAACTTTTTTAAAGATTAGTTTTCTAAAAAGACAAAACAGGTATCTTTTACTTCTACAAAACAAGAAATGGTTTACTTACCAGCTGCTGTCCCACAACAGGGGGGAACCCACCAGGCAGAAGAGAAGATTGTGGCAATCACTTCTTCAGGGAAAAGAGTGACATTCCTTTGTATCTGAAGAAGGTTGAGCACCAAGGCTAGGACAACTCCAACTGAAAACAGCACAAGGCTCCTTTGTACCAAGTGATGATGCCAACTGTTAATGTGACTTCTGCTATTGCTGCAACTGTGGCCACTCACATTAGTGCTCTGACGCCTGTGTGAGGGGTTGGTATTTGGGGCACTGTGGTCCACCAATAAAGAGGGGCTGGAAACAGAATTGATCATCTCTTTCACTTTCCCTGCCAGCCCCTCAGGTCTGGCTTTGGGGTGTTTTTTGTGCCTCTCACTGGCAGGACAGGAACAACTCCAGAAGTGGTCGTCTAATCTGGGCATCAGTGCCCACCACGGTGTAAAATGAGATTTCTAGAAGAAAAAACAAGGAAAGAGATGAAATCATAGTTAATTTCAGAGTCAAAAAAAGTCAAGGAAGGCTCTACTTCAAGTCTTGTGGCCCAAGTCAGACACTAAAAGTTACACTTGTATTCATCACTAACATATACAGTAAAAACAAAAAAGTTCCTCAAGGGAATTAGTACTAATGTCTTAGACACTATCCAACTACCACAAATGACTTGTTACCTTACCTCTTCTCTGTTCCTCAGCTACAAAATGAACATATTAAAAATAAAAACTACTCACATATTCCACTTGGATGATACAAAGTTAATTTAAGGCATACAGAAGCAAGGTGTTTGATTAATATAGTTGTGTCTCTTAAAAAAAGAACTCTTTAAAACTACCCGCCTAGCAAGCATCCCTGTTGTTGTTGTTATGTGCCGTCGAGTTGGCCCCGACTCATAGCGACCCCTTCCTTGGGTTTCCAAGGCAGTATCACTACGGAAGTAGGATTGCCCAACCTTCCTTCCGAGGAAGGTGGTGGGTTTGAACCGCCAGACTTCTGGTTAGCAGTCAAGTGCTTTAGCCACTATGCTACCAGAGCATCCCTTCTTTATATAAATCATTAAGTACTGACTGGTTGACTCTGAAAGTCTCCTAGACACGATTCGCATGTGCCAGGAAACTTTCAGAACTGACGCAATGAAACATCCCACCATCCCGGCCCGGTGAGGCCCTTCAAGCAATCTTTCCCAGAAAAAGTTAACAGGCTCCAACCAGACGCGTTTGAACGGAAAACGCGCGGTCGGAATGTGCAGGGCTAGATAACCACCTTGGTCAACTGTGAACCATTAGCTTTTTTAATCGAACATTTGCGCGCACGGTTGCGCTTCATACCCACAAGGCCCTGTTTGGGGCCGTCAGCGACTGGGCCTCCAGGGCCATCATCACGACCCCAGCTGGGAAGTTCATCCTTCGAGCTCCTGGGAGGGAGGGACTGAGAGGTAACGACGCAGGAGGCCCGGCCAGGGCGCAGGGTCTCCTCCAGGCTGGTATCCCCCGCTCGTCATTCAGCCGGCACTCGCCGTTCCCTGCCAGGGTCTCGCCGCCCAGCTGACCTAACATACCTGCCTGAGGGCGCCCGCCAGCGGGCTGTCCGCGACACAGGAGGCGGGGTTGTGGAGGAGCCGCCGCCCCGGCTCGGTCCGGCCCTAGCGTTTCCCTGCAGCGCCGGCGGGCTGTAAACAGTTTATATCTCGGGCTGCGAAGCCCCCAAATCACGTTACCCCAGCGCAGCCTACCCGCAGCGCTGCGCCGCCCGGCCCGCGTCCGGCCGGAGGGAGGCGGGGCCTCGGCCGCCCGCCCGCCCCACCCACTACCGCGCGCCAGGTAAACATTCGGTCTGGTGAGGCAGCCTCAACCAATGGAAGGCAGGCGACCCATATGACGTGGCGGACACACCACCCGCCTTCCCTCCTGACAGTTACGAACTGCAGGGGCGGGAGCGCGGGCTGCTTCGCTGCGTTAGGTGGCTGCTTAGCTGGCGTGGGGGGGTAGGGGGTGGGGGAGAATGGAAGGCCTGAGATGAAGAGAGTCGGTCGGCAGGAAGCGAGCGAACAAGAGCGGACGCTCTGAGCCAGCCTGCAATAAACGCCACGCGGCTGGCCATTCTCGCGCCGCCTAGGCCTCTGGGACGGCCTCCGGCGTGGGCGGGGCCCAGCCAGCGTGGCCCGCGGCTGGAGTCACGGGCGGACGGCGCCCACTAGGCAGACAGGCGTCCGGAGCGCGACGCCGTGACCTTCGTGCGGCCGGCTGGGTGAAGGCGATTGAGGAGAAAGCCGGCTGGGAAGGCGGGTCGCTCAAATTTTGACGCTTGGGGCAAAACTAAGATCAGAAAGGTTGTGGAGACGCCTGAGCATTGGGAAAGGGCTTAATGGCCGAGAGCGATTAATATATACAACCCCCACACATAACTCTAGCCGCACAGGGGTTTTGAATCACTTTGTTAAGCAATTTGGGTTCATTATTATTCTCACTATAGATGTAGACCGATTGATAATGTTCCCCTTCTTTCCTGGCCACCTTCACTTTGACATCAAGAGAGAAGCCAGCACTTGTCATGTTTTTTGAATCCTGTGGACACGCCTGATTATGGCTTCAACCTCTGTTTCATGAAGAGATGTCCCCTTAGTAGCCCTTAGTGATGTTCTTGATGTTTACCATACCTATAAATTTAAAATGAGTTCATGTATGCAGTGATGAGAGCCGTTCCTGGTATGTAGTAAGGGCTTGGTAAATATTAATTGTGTGTATCTTTGTAAGTATGTATGTGTTGTTAAGGTACTTTTATGCCTCTCTACCGCTAGCATGGTTCAAAACTTTTTTTTTTTTTTTTTAACAAAATGCATTTTGAAAAAGAGTAAATGATAAAAACTTCATTCTTACAAGATTTTCCTCTAGTTTCTGTCTTCGCAGGTGGAAAACAAGCCATTAAAACTACTAAGGAAAAAAAAAATCTTAAAAAGTAGACTTTTATCTTACTGACATGTGTAATGTGTTTATATCCTGTTTACCATGTGTGTCACATCATCATAGGAGCTCTTGTGGCTCTGTGGTTAAGGCATTGGCCCCTAATGAAAAGGTCAGCAGTTCGAACCCTCCAGCTGCTCCACAGGAAGAAAATGAGGCATTCTGTTTAGTAAAGATTTACACCCTTGGAAACGCGATGGGGGTGGGTATGAGTCAAAATCCACTCAATGGCAGTCAGGTTTTGGTGGTTTTTTAGGCCACATCATCCAAGAATACATTCAGAGGGCAGGTACCATACCAATTGAAAACCCACATCGTGTTGAGCAAGATTAATATGATTTTAAGTGTTATTCACTGGTAATAGAGAAAGACTATGTGTTCTTCTATCTTCAGAGGAGCAGAGGTTGAGAAAGTTAGTGCCTGAAATATCAACTCTTCAGTTGGCCAAGTGACCCTCCTGGCTTAGAAAACTTGAGTCACAATTACCATGTGGCAACACCAAATACCATTATGTCTGGCATCTTTGACATTAAGATTTGTGGCTATATACCAGAGTTCTTTTTTTTTGTTTGTTTGTTTTAAGTGTAATATCTTCCTGAGGTATCAATATTTTTCGAAGTTCCTTTTCTTTGGGGGGATGGTGGACATTCACATAAATTTTAAGTAATAAAACAGGAGACTTCAAGGAAAAGTGGTGTTTTTAGTGGCTGTGCTCACACTCCTTGACTGTAAGGGGTGTTTCATTAGGAAAGTTCTGAGAAGCACAATGTAAAGACATTTGCCATTAATTTGTTGCTCTTGCTCCAGGGTCATCACTGATTCCTCTTTCTTACCACTTCTGACTTAATAGCTGAGACAGCCTGGTTGTGAGTAGATGTCCTATACTCAGTCCATGATGCCAACCTGACATGAATTTAATCTTTTCTACTTCTATGACAGCATAAACAAAAAGTGTGGTCATTATGGACTATAATTAAAAATTACTCTCAAATTCTTGTGCTTAATTAGTCTTTGTTAATAATGTGACCTGTTTTCATTTCTTGAGCTTGATCTAGATAGTATGGAAGTACATGGAATGGAGGCTTTAAATCTCACCTGTCCCTTCGATCAGGACAGGGCAGAGTCAGGACTTTCAAACTCTCTGTAAGCCTTGTTTGCCACTGTATGTGTACTTCCTAAAGAGTCAAAGTTGTTTTGACTTCAAGGAGTCTTGGCCCTTTAATCCTGCTCCACCATGTGTGAGTTCACAAAGATACATTGCATTTGAGTAAAACATTGAAGATTTAGTTGTAACAGTAAAAAAGAAAAAGATAAAGCAGCCCCAATCGTCAACTAATAGGAAATTAGTTAGATAAATGATAGTGTATCAATACAATGGGATTCTATGTAATTGAGAATCATAGCCTTTTCAACCATCAGGTGTGTAATATGTCCTCTCACCTGTCAATCAGCCTCATTTGCCATACATATACACACTTTGAGAATCCTTGAGATAAATCAAGCTGTAAACCTGATGGAGATGCATCCACATTACAACCTTGACCTTGAGATGCAGGTGTGTAATGGATTCAATTATGAAACACCAGCAAATGCAGAAATCTTCTCTTTAGTATATCAGCTTTCAATAACTGGTTTATTCAGGTATATGAGACCCAATAAACAGACATAAAAGCTCTTTGCATACCTACTAAGCTGCTGTATCCATGGATTCCATATCAATGAAATCAGTTTGTCTTCTGAGGTCTAAGATGTATTTATTTTTTTTCTCCTGCATTCTGGACTTGGTCATACAGACTTTCTCAACATCTCTTCAATTTATGATGCTCCTTATGTTCAAGTAGGGAGCTCTGGTGGTGTAGTGCCTAAGGCGTTTGACTGCTAACCAGAAGGCTGGTGGTTCAAACTCACCTGCCACTCCTTGGAAGGAAGGTTGGGCAATCTACTTCCTTAGTGATACTGTCTCAGAAACCCAAGGAGAGGTCACTATGAGTTGAATCCAACTCAATGGCAGTGAGTTTGGTTTTGTTTTATGTAGAAGTACATACCTTATCAAAATATTTTATGAATTCCTGAGTTGCTTATTTCTTATGTAAAACAAACAAACGAAACAAAAACCATTGAGAAAATCAAATCAATTCTGACTCTTGGTGACCCCATCTCACCATGTCAGAGAACTGCACTCCGTGGGGTTTCAATGGCTATGACCTTTTAAAAGTAGATCTCTGGGACTTTCTTTAAAGCTGCCTCTGGGTGGATTCACGCCTCCAATATTTCAGTTAGTAGCCAAGTGCTTAAATGTATGTGCCACCCAGGGAAAAGGGCCATCAATTCCTTTAGCTAATTGGTCTGTTAAGGTCCTTTCACTTTGTTACCTTTTTTTTATCTACCAAAGCTAATATTAATAAATTCAGCCTCTCTTACTCTCTGTCCCTTCATTTCATCTGTCCTGGGATGTTATGAACCATGGG